CAGAGGTCTCCAACCTTGGCAACTTTAAGATTTGTGGACTTCAACTCCCAGAATTCTCCAGCCAGCTATGCTGGCTGGAGAATTCTGGGAGCTGAAGTCCACAAGTCTTAAAGTTGCCAAGGTTGGAGACCTCTGATCTAAGGGATACCCCTGGTTTAATGGAGATTTAAATCTCTGACTTATTTAATTCCAGACATTCTTAGTTAGTAGAGTAAAATAATTTTCATGTTGGTTTGATTGAGGTGTTTTTTTTAAAAGCGGTGGGTGGAGTATGATCCCCCCCCCCTGCTGTTATGTTCTGCATATATGATGAACGCAGACCACACAATTTCTGGCATTTCATTTTCATGAAAAGTATAACATTAACTGTAAAACAGCCATGTTGTCCAATGTCACATCACCCTCAAAACTTCCCCCTAATCTTAGATATGATCTGGTGACTACTACTTGGGGGCCCTCGTCTGACCTAAAAAAAATTAGTGATGCCAACTGATCACTGAAAGTTTGCCAATCTCCGGCTTCAAGAGAATATTCAGAGAACTATCAACTACGTCCATCAACAACTCCTACTTGACATAATCATCTCTCCTTATCTGACCACAGCACCAGCTGCAGTTGAAGTATTTGTACCCACCTGCTACTCCAAGGAAAAGGAAGGAGACAATAAAAATTCCAAGTGCTCCCATGGCTGGCCTCTAAATTGTTGCCGGATAGTTTTTAGTTCTGAGGGCAAAGGCTGTTTGGAGAGTAAGCTGGAGATTGAAAGAGACCTGATCAAAACAGGTCATCTGGATAAAAAACAGCTTCACTTTCCTGGTACTAGCAGCCACTCTCTGATATTCAAACATTTGCTCCATTAGGTCATTGAACTCTTGGGCAAAAGCCATGCTGAGTTACTATGCAGGCAGTCTTTCATTTATGATCGTTCATAGTTACAATGGCACTCACCAAGTTTTCACACTTATGACTGTTGCAGTATCTCCATGGTCATGTGTTCAAAATTCAGATACGTATTTATGACGGTTGCAGGGTCCCAGGGTCATGTGATCCCCTTTTGAAACCTTCTGATAAGCAAAGTCAATGGGGAAGTCAGATTCACTTAACAACCATTGTACTAACTTTACATCTGCAGTGATTCATTCAACAACTGTGGCATGAAAGGTTGAAAAATGGAGCAAAGTTCACTTAACGTGTCACTTTGAATTGTGGTCATAAGTCAAGTACTGCCTTACTACATAAAGTAGAAATATGAGATGCCTTACATAGACATCAGTAGCACCTTTACTGATGGATGGGTATCATTATATATACCTGGATAGATCCTTATTGAATATACCCATGATTAGTTTGCCAGACTTAATTCCAAGATTTGCTTTGACCCTTGGCACCTTTGATCTCACAGTGGATTGTGGTTCAGTTTCTCCAAGAGGTTTTGTTACCCATCAATTATAATACCAACCACTGCTCTGTCTAATATTTACCCTCTTATCTTCTAAGTACCCTACTGACCACTCTGCACAAAAATATGTTGTCACTCATACAGTAAAATTCGCAGGGCTTTGCCACTCAGATTAGAGTTTCAGAAATAGCATGAAGGCAATTATTTTAAATCCAGCACTCTTGCCTTGCTATTATTTTAATATGAACCAAAAGAGAAAATTAATCCAGCATTTTAAAATCTCTCAAGCAAATCAATGTGAAAAAGTATGGTTAATGTATATTTTGAAGTTATGCTTTTAAAGTGGAATTCTGTGTCTGGTAGACCATTTCCAACTGGTCATTTGTTGTATAAGGTTTAAGTAAACATGAATTCATTTTGGAATATCTGTACTTTGATCATTCTGTGCAGAAAACTCATACCCTGTCCACTCATATGGCCTTTTGTTGGCCTTTTGCTCTGAAACCAGTCAATAGCTATTCCAGGATCTGGATTCAAGAACACAAAAAAGTAAGGTTTATCATGACCATAACAGGTTTGGATTTAAAATGAATCTAGAAACTAGATTGGCAGATTTAAATTATATTTTTCCACCACCATCTCTCTTTAAAGATTTGATCTTATCTAATGGAAATCAAGATAACCCTGGGATCAAATGTTAAACGAATATTTAACTATGATAATTTCAACTGCTCACATTTATTCATTCTACTCACCTATTAAGTTAGTGAAAGCCAATTTATTCTGAGGCTCCCTTACATTTATTGTTCTCTGCTGCTTGTATATATTCATGATCCAGCAATAGTACAATATACCTGGATGGCACCTAATTCAAAAAGTAGTTTTAAAACCAATTGGACTAATTTGTCAAATGAAGTAGTGAGAAATTTTCAAACAGAGATTGGATAGTCATTGGTTAGAAATAGTCTAGTAAGTGTTTCCCAACCTTGGCAAACTTGGCAGCATAAGCGCACCAACATGCCTACCGTCACTGTCCTATTGTTTCTTTTTTTATTTGTATCCATTTCATGTATTCATAACTATGTTTATACTTATACCTGTTATCTAATACTTGCTTGACAAATAAATAAATAAATAAAATATAAATAAATAAATAAAATATAAATAAATAAATAGATAAACAAACAAATAAATACTAAATAAATAAATAAAAAAGAATTCTGGGAGATCAAGTCTACACATCTTAAACTTGTCGTGATTAAGACATACTACTATTGTAGACCCTGCATTGAGCAGGAGGGTGGGTTAGATTACCTTGAATGTTTCTTCACAGTAGCTAGTCCTTGACTTACAACCACAATTGAGCCCCAATTTTCTTTTGTTAAGTGAATTTTGTCCCATTTTACAACCTTTCTTGCCACAGTTGTAAAGTGAATCTCTATAGTTAAGTTAGTAAAATGTTTAAATAAATCTGGCTTCCCCATCAACTTTGCTTGTCAGAAAGTCACAAAAGGAGCTCATAAATATGAATCAGTTGCCAAGAATCCAAATGTTGATCACGTGACCAAAGGGATGCCACAACACTTGTAAATGTGAAAAATTATCATAATTCACTTTTTTCAGGGTAACTTTTTTCATTGTAACTTCTAACGGTCACTAAGTAAACTGTTATAAGTCTAGGACTACCTGTAATGATTCATTAGTAGCTGAGAACTGTTGCCTGGTATCTACAGTTGTAGAGGACAGAAGGAGTTTTAGTCACAGGATTTCTGCCTGTCATATAATCATTACAAGAGCAGAACATTCAAACCAGCCAACCGGCCAACCAGCCAACCAAGTTTGTCTTTCCTTGATCAAAGCTCAGTCTCCCTGACTTTTTCTCTGAAAATCATCTGTGCCTAGACTTTCTGGGAAATTAGCAGGATTCCACCAGGTACTCTGATGCATCTTTGTACATGCATCCTCTGATTTTGGCTCAGCCAACTTCTATCATGTTTCTCACAAAATAAGCCTGGGCCTTATTTTTTTTTTTGACCCCCCAAAAAACGGCTAGGCCGTCTTTTCGGGGTGACTTAATTTCCCCCCCTCTTGCATCCTCAGGTGGGCAGGCGGCAATGGCTTGGATGTTGACCTCGGTGTTGGTGGGGCACTTCGTATCAGGAGACCTTCCGCCACCGTTGCTTTCCCTTCTCCCCGTGCTGCCGCGGCGTTTAGAGCAATGCCACGGCATTTGGCTCAGCCACGCGGGGACGGCCAGGGCTTCTCCCTGCAACTGGAGCCCGGCGGAGACACTCAGCTTCAGGCGCTCTTGTCGCCGCCTTCCCGGGCATCGTTCGAAGGCAAAGCCCATTCTTTTAAAAACAACGCCCTACTACGACAAAGCCTCCCCTGCCCGAGAGGGCAGTCCAACCCCACGTAGGGAGGCGAATCTCCCCGGGCTGCAGCACAGGATCGGTCCACCCCAGGAGAAGCGCCCAGCTGCCATCCCTGCCTGGTGCCGGGCAGAGCGCGAAGAGCTTCATCTGGGACGCCCAGTGCAGCTGACAGGTGGCCCGCACCGCGTCCTCCTTCGAGCTGAGCCCTGCCAAGTGAGCGCCTCTGCCCGATGCCCATGCCACTGCAGCGTTTGGAGCTGCCGGCACATTTGGAGATGCATGGGGATGGGCTGGGCTGGGCGAGGGGTGGAAAGGATGGGCGGCTTTAGGCTCTCTCTGCCAGACCCTCCGGCCAGGGAAGCAGTGCTGCCGTCTCCTCGCCTCCCTGTCCACAGACAGGTGGGCGCTATCACTGCCTCAGGCAGCCTCTCCTGGTGGACCCTTTGGGTTCGGGCTGGAGGGACTTGGGAAGTCAAGCTTGGGTCGGCCCGGCTCTTTTGCTTGGCAGGTGGGCACGCACCTGCGGCTCACTTTCCCAGCTCTGCCCAGCCTGCCCGGCTCTGGCATGGCCCTGGTGGAGGCCCTGGCAGGGAGGCACTCGCTGCCTTGGTGAGAGCTCTGCCGCCGGGCAGGAGGGCCTGCCTGTCAGCTGCGCTGGGCACCCCAGGCGAAGCTCTTCGTGCTCTGCCCGGCACTAGGCAGGGATGGCATCTGGGCGCTTCTCCTGGGGTGGGCCAATCCTGCACTGCGCCCCCGGGAGATTCGCCTCCCCATGTGGGGTTGGGCTGCCCTCTCAGGCAGGGGAGGCTTTGTTGTAGTAGGGCATCGTTTTTTAAAAGAATGGGCTTTGCCTTTGAACGATGCCCGGGAAGGCAGCGACAGGAGCGCCTGAAGCTGAGTGTCTCCGCCAGGCTCCAGTTGCAGGGAGGAGCCCTGGCCGGCCCTGCATGGCTGTGCCAAATGCCGCGTGGCTGCGCCAAACACCACGGCGTTGCTCTAAACACCGCGGCAGCACAGCGAGAAGGGAAAGCAATGGTGGCAGAAGGTCTCCCGATACGAAGTGCCCCACCAACTCGGAGGTCAAGGCAGGAAGCACCATATTCAGGTATGCAACAAAAGTACTTCCTAACGGCAAGCCCCCCCTGCCATTCCCCCCCATTTTGCATGTTTAATATAGGCCTTAATTTGGGGGGAGGGGCTTAATTTCATTTTATGCCTATAAAACATGCTGGGACTTCCTATTGGGGGAGGCCGTATTGTTGGAGAAACACGGTAGAACTTCTGGAAGAGCTGAGCCTGAAACAAGCAGAGTTACCAGTTGCCACACGCCTTAACCTTTATCTGTAGCTTGAGCACGCAAGACGTAATGTCTTGCTGAGATTTGTAATCATGGAGCATAATCCTCCTCCTGCCTCGCCTGTCCACAGAGAAATAATTTTAAAGATGATGAGCAAGTGTGAGATGGATGGGGAAAGCACTATAACTGAGATAGGACAATCCCTTCACCTCCACGTGCTTTGTGGTGGAGCACCTGTTAAATCTGTCAGCAGGGGAAAAAAACAAGATAATTACACTGTTCCCTTGAAGCTAGAGCTATATAATTGGAGCCCTCACACTTCTCCTGTGTTTATGAGGGGCTCAAGACCATGAGGTTCCCAGCTTGGATTCTTCTCCTGGAGATGCTGTTTCCCTCAGCTGCCCAAGGAAGAATACTCCGCTTCGTTACGCTGGTACATAAACTGGGATAATGGCAGAGCTAGGAATCTCATGGTTTCTCCCCCAACAAGATGATTTTGACCAGTCTTCTCCCATTAACTGCTCAAACCCGTTATTTTCTCCCAGTCAGGATAGCTAAAGAGAAAGCTGGCTGGAGTCAGAAGAGCAGAATGCAGAAGCTATAGAGAACATCCTAATAGAAGAAAAGGCTGATAATCACTGGGAATTTGCAAAAATAGACAGGACAACTGTTTGACTGGGATGGTATAAGGCTACTGCTTTGAGCAGTGAAGTTAGACTAGGATCT